TATTATGAAAAGAAATAAAAATAAAATTATAAATAAGCTAGAAGTATTTTTCATCTTATGATTAATTGAGAATTTAATGTCAACAAAAAGCCTAGTACTTTCTCAAGGCAAGCTCTCTTTCTCCCGACAACGTCTTGATAATACATCTGATAACTCTTGTTGGCTCTCGGATCGATACGTGATACAAAAAACAAATCATGATAAAGATATATTTCAACATGCTTGGCAATGGTTTAAGACTTGGATTGATATGAAATATTCAAGATTCTTATGATTTGTATATACAATCATCTAATGAGAGGCACTTTGAAGAAAGTAGCGCTATTCTTGAAAAGAATCTACAATGACAAGCAATTCTTTATTGTAGATTTTGTAGTTGATTTTTGCCACTAAGAATTTTCTTAAATAGAATGCAATTAGGTGAAATTTGCCATCTTCTCCATATTGCAAGAAGATTGCTCTCAATGCAAAGTCTAAGGCATTGGTTTCTTTAAAATAGGGCTTGTTGAAATCTGGATGTATCAAAATTAGAGCTGTTGTGAAAGCATCTTTTAAGCTTTGAAAAGCTTTCTCTGCTTTGTGGCCCCAATCTAGCTTGTCCTTACATGTCAACCGTATAAGTGGAGCAACAATCTTAGAGTAATTCTTAACAAAAACCATGTAAAAGTTTGCAAATCCAAAAAAAACATTGGACATTACGTACAGTTTTTGGCTTTGTCCAATCAATAATTGCTTGTACCTTCTTTGGATCCATAAAAAGGCCTTTGTTGAAAATAATATATCTAATAAATTCGACTTGAAGTGCATGAAATACACACTTCTTTAATTTTGCATATGGCCTAGCATATAGATCCATCTTTTTTCTTCACATGGTTTCATAATAAACATATAAATAAATATGTCTTTTTTAAAAAAAAAATCAAATGGCATAAAATTTTAAATATTAAAAATAAAAAATGAATATGATAGATAGAGTAAATATCAAATTTATGAAAAGAATCAAAATAAATCATTATACAAAAATCACTCAAAAGTTTAATTCTTCAAAGTTATAATATATTCCAATTTCTTATAGCCTATGTCTTCTTGAATTCTATTATTTTAAAAATATATTTATATTTATTATAATTTATTATTTTTGTATTAATAAGAGTTTTTATACTAATTTTTTTTACATAGAAATAAGCTTAATTAATATTAATCAATATTAAATTAATTCATATTATTATTATTTTTTAAAATATATCAAAATTTATTATTTTTTAGTAATTTTATTACACAATAGCGATGAAACACTTATGCTAATTGATCAGTATAATTGAGCCTCTTTGTAGGCCTTCTTCTCTAAAAAGAGCCTTTGTATAGAGTCCTAGTTTGAATAATTTTATCTTTTATATTTAATTTAATATATATGTATAATAAGAAAGAATTCTTTAATTATTTAGATTTTTAATGAAATTTTATTTTTCATTAAACTCACAATATCATAATTTGATTCAAAATATAACTATTAAAAATGAAATTAAACATCATATGAAGCAGCACGTCAACATTGGAAATAAATCAGTTTTGTGCTAGTTATATGTTTATTTCCATTATTCTTACATCTACTTCATTTTAGTATTCTTTTGGCTATTCCTATATCTTTTATACAAATGTACTACTTCTTTTGGTGGTTAGGTGGATGTCATATCAAAGGTAATAGAATCAGAGCAATATCAATTTTGTTGTCACTTGGTTATATTTAATACTCAATGGATGGTATTAGAATAATTACTATTGCATAGAATGCTTGTTGAACTATAATAGTATGAAAATAAGTAATATAGTCAAAAATAGATTTTTTTATAAATAATAAAATATTAATTACATGCATATATGGAATTCCAATTATTTGCCACTATTTGCAAATATATGTGTGGTTTTGCAAATCCAAAACATTGGATAAATGATCCAACATGCATTTAAAAATAAAATCAGAGAAAGGAATGATATGGTACTTATGTACAAATATTTGCAATTGTTCAACTTGTTATTCTACACTTCTTGACAATAGTCTAGTATTTATATTGGCTATGATACATTATTTATTGCACCATTCTATGAGTTGACAATGATTATTTTTAACATTGGAATTAATGACATCCAATGCATTTCTAACATCTAGAATTTTAGAACTTCCAAAATATTTGAAGTCGTGTGGCTAAATTGATTTCCATCAAACTACAATGATATCTAATATTGTCGTCTACTACTTATCAAGTATTTTGCAGGTTCTTTTGATACAACTTGGACTTTTGAAAGTTTAATGTTGAAATCAAAAACAATTGGTACCCAAATTATTGTCTATAGATATTGTACAAGCATTGGAATCTTGAATTATTATTGAAAATTCTCAACTAAATGGTCCATACAAAATGTGTGCTTGCATGTTGGAAATATAAGATTGACATCATCAATGAGGCCTTTTTGTTGATTAAACAAAAATATGAACTTTGAAAGTTTGTTATTCAGTGGATGGAATACAAGAATTGATGTTTTACTTTCTACAAGAACCATAGCCAATTGCTATCATTTTTAGCATTTAAAATGTTAAATGCAATAGGAAATAATTATTTCTCCGCATCAATTGTTGTACCAGTAAGGAGTATCCTACATAACTCCCAAAAATTTTTGTCTTGATTTGGTGACAATATACTTTTAGATTGATGTAGCCATCTTCATAAGAACCAATTAGCTCAAAAACATCTTTTTTTCTTCTATGCCATGCCATCATGTAGAATATTATAATGTCTTCATAACATCAAATATCCTTTTGGATATCTAAAGCTTTGTATTATGATGTGTCTTCTAACTTGTTCTTTATGTTGCTTGCTATCCAACTCATATTAGCATGTCAGTTGTCCAATTTATCAACACCAGTGCATGTGTTTTCAAAAATAAGAATTTAAATGACATATTCACTTGTACATGCCAATTGAGATTGTGACACATACAACCTCCATTTGCAAGTATCATTGGAATACATTATAGTGTATCTCATTAGATTGGACTTGATAATAGTTGTTTCATAATGTTTGCTAATTGCATCATGCAAAATAACTTCCTTCAATTCTTTAATACTACTAAAACAATACTCACAATAAGAACATGTATCATCTTTTTTGATGAAGCCTAAATGTGTGATAAATATACAATAAAGCATCAATAGTATACTTTTAGATTTGTTATAAATCTAATTACCACCAAATATGTTCTTTAATAACAAAATTCCTGTAGCAAATATATGTGTTAAAAATAGTGTATTAGGATTAACAGAAATATATAAAAACATCAAAATTATATAAAATTTCAAAGTATCGTCATTTTAATAGCTTTGATACTAGTGGTGCCAAACTTGTATATGAAAGAAAACTTCTCCAAGACAAAGTATAAAACACCTCAGTGTTTCGAAATTTGAACCTACAAAACTAAGAATCAGTCGTTGAAGGTAACCTACAGGAAAATCCATGTTTGACATGTTCTGTAAACAAATGATGTTCAAATCAATCATTATGCTTGGAGTTGCCAAACTTAAGGATCAATCAAATAACCAGTTTCTCCTAAAAATCATTCAGCGATTGTATTGTCTTCAGGAAAATAAGCCACATGTCATGAAACGAGGTTGCAAGGTTGCATGAGAAGCAAGCTGTGAACATCATACACGATGCTGCTTCTCCTTAAGTCATAATTTTAATTCTAAGAGTCACTTATTCATCATTGCAAAAACTATAAGTCCAGGTCTTTTTACTTTTCAAACATTTCATGCCATAAATTAAGCTAGAATCGACAGTTGTGGATTTGACTGGGGACCTTTAGCAGTTCCGTGATAATCTTCACTTAAAATTGGAATGACATATTGCAGAGCATGATACAATTACACACAAATATAAGGCTGCTGAAAGTTTACGCAAAGTAGATCGACAATCTACAAAATTTCTTGACTTATCAACCAAATTCCAGTCTTCAATAAATGTACACAATGCATGTGATTACTTCTAGCTTTACAATGGAGGAATGCTAATAGCAGAGTATGCAGAGCCTGTTGTTCACTCAAAATTAGAACTCTTGTCATGAAGCATAACTCCACTCCCACAAACCAAACCCTCAAGAAACACATCCAACACATACAAACACCTCATCAAAAAGTTTCTCGAAGGGCAAAACTCACCTTTAGTCCACCAAGAGCCTCGGATGGCAAAACCCTCAAACTAGGTCTCACCTCCCAACTTGACTAGATGGATGCCTTGGCCATAAATAATCAGCATTCAAGCTCTCCTCCCACCAGTGTAATCCAAAATCGTGCCGATCATCACAACTACGACACTCTACTGAAGCTCAAATTTGCACCCATCCACAAACCGCAGAAGAACAACTGTGATCCCGTTGGACTGGATGCTGAGAAGCAGGCCAAGGCTATTTTTTCTATGTAGCACATACCCGGGTGCGGGAGACTACCCCGGTGCTCCCTGCTACATAGCCGAGAGTTCTGGGACTGCAGCGAGAGCGGGGGTGGGGGATTCGCGCGGGGCCCTATTAAAACTATGAAAAAAATTATCATCCCAAAGGAAAATTTGCAATAATAACACGTGTGATATTATCAAAACTTGAGGGGTATCCTTAATATTTCGAGAAAGTTCAGAGGCATGTGTGATAATTGCCCAGTGAAAAACTTCTTTGATGATTGGTGCTGTCATATATAATCAAGTGCCAATCCCAATCTTCTTGTTTCATGGTTAATTGGCCAAAGTACTAGTCCTTTCCAGAATAGCTAAAAAGGGTAGAATTTTTGACCAATCACATTACAGGATTATATAAAGTATAGCTTAAGTATGGTTTGTTATGAGAAACCCATTCAAAGACATTTACTTCAAATCCAATTGCAAAGTAGAAATGTAACCATGAAACACAGACCCCTCACATGACGCAATGGTGCAACTCAAGGGAAACGCACAGGAAAATGACAGACTTCAACCAGTACTGCTGCATGTATGGTAAGCCAAGATTTAGGACAAAATAGGTCACACTAAATATTGCAAACTTAATCACAAGCAAGAGTGATAACCTTACTCTCAAATTTCTGCCTCTATCAAATACCTGCAGTGGGACCTTACGCGATTGCATTAGACTTGTTCAAGATCACTCCCTCATATTTGACCTGGAACCACTTCATTGCGTCTTCCTTAGTAACGCGGTGCTGGATACCAACGCGAGATTTCGCTCTGCGTCTTCTTCCAACTCTGTAACCTGGGCGCTCAAGTACTACGTAGAAGTCCATACCGTAAATGCCCGTAGAAGGATCGTACCTGCAAGAAGCCAAACAAGTACCAACATCAATATCTTTATCTGAACCGAACCCATCAGATTCTAACTGGAAAGAATGAGCTGGACATTCGGGATCTGGGCTAGCGCTACTCTGTGCACGCTTAGTGCTTAGGAAGAACAGAGCAGTCACAAGACGTAACAATGGAAACCAAATCTGAGGTAAACTCTCTGATAATGACAGAATAAATCCATCCATCGTAACTCTTCCAATAGCTGCATATTTCCATCTCCCATCTGATTGCAAACGTAACTCATATTCTGCAAACAAATCAACTTACTTGATTCCAAGGTCAATGTGTTCTTGAATACCAAACCCGAAGCAACCAGATTCACTAAAGTTGCGGCGCAACAGCTCGTACTCCTTCACCTTCAATCCACTCTCCAAAAGCTGCATGGCTTTTTCACCACGCACAGTCACGTAGCATGCAATCTTCTCATTACGCCTGATTCCGAAAGAACGGACAGTGTACCTAGCTGCAAATTTAAAACAAAAGTTTCAATCACTGCTAAACTGTATCGAAGTACTAGCTTCTGCCACACTCAAGTTTGAATACACGTTACTGCCAATTCTAAGCGTTTCAAGTGCTCACCCTTGGAGAAGACAGGGGATTGACCACTGAGTTGCTCCAACACCTGACCAAAGCCACTCACGCAATAAGTCAAGGCACAGTCGAATCAAACAAAGGTGATATACGAATACAAGATTTCCATACACACTCATTCAATCACAATGAGGATTGAATATTCGACGATGGATGATACACATCGAAATCACTCGCCTTGGAAGCACGTGTGAGACGATCTCCGCTCTCTCCGACAGAGATGTTCAGAACAAGTTTCTGAACCTTAATCTCCCGCATTAAATTCTGCTGCTTCTTTTCGGACGCCTGAAATACAGAACATACCAAGCTCAAAATGAAATAAGTAAATAAACAAATCCTAATCCATAACTACCCTGGCAAGAGTCATCCATTTAAGAAGTTTCGGGAGCAAACTACACACCCATTGCGACTGATGTCATGCAAACGTTACCATCCCTCCTGACGAGAGCTCAACTGCTCAATGAATCAAACGTATCCACCCCGCCCTTCCTTCGAGGCCCAGGACCAGAACTCAATGAATCGTTAAGAGAAAATCTAATGCGCAAAACGCATGAATGCTAAGGCCGGTGAAACTAAAACTCTACCCAGCAAAAGCCAACGATGCAGAAGCTCAGGGTGAAGAATGGCAAAGACCACCATCACTGTGTTCACAAACTGGAACAAGTGCTCTTGGTACGCTCCTCTCACAAACTCCAAAAATACAGCACAGAATCATCACACCCAGCACCAAGAACCCTAAAAAGTGCTAAAACCCTAATATAAAATCTCTCTGGCTAAGAGAGGCACTGCAATAACGCGTCATCCAAAAGCAGGAGCGCGCATTCTACGACCGCACGAGGTCGGATGCGCACGAGAACAATCGTCAAATCGTGTAACCAAAACCAAAACCCTAGCAAGGGCCAAACCCAAACTTCGAACCACAAAAACTTCGCTACTCGTCGAGAAATGGATCACAGTAGTGCGTTGGAACGGCCGCCACACGGCGAAACAGCAGCGATGCAGCGTGCGGGACACACATTTCGAAACCTCAAGAGGGAGAATCGGAAACCCACCATGGCTGAGTGCGGGCTCGACGTGAGGGAAAGAGGCGGCTGATGCTGCGAGAAAGAGACTGTACTGAGGCTTCCCTTTGGCTCTTTGTAGGTCCTTCGTGATTAGTGACTTGTTTACTTATGCTTTCACTAATCACGTTCTAATGTGACAGTAATTTTATTGAAGTATGGGTGGGTCGCAATCCTTGATTAGTGAGGGAATTAGTGGGTTTTGGTTCTTGTTAATGATTATCACCTCCCAACAACAATCCAGGAGTTGTATGATCTCTCTCTCTGTATACATATTCTAAAATATTTAACATCAGGTTTTGAAGATTAGTAACATATATTCGCTGCTCTACTGTAATTTTGTGATCAATAATAAACATGCTACATCACCTCAAAGTGGAACAAGGTGTAATTATAACTTGAAAAATTGTGCGTTGTGTTTTTAAATGTTAATTCTTTATCCATTGAAGTTTCTTATTCACTAATTAGATTATCTAAATATATCTTAAGTTTTATGTCTTAAATACATGTAGATATAGTAATTTAATTTGGAGGTGTTACTGCATGCAATTTGTTAATTTTTAAATACCAATTACTATTCTATATAAATAAGAATTACAGATTCTTATTTGGATTGTTATTTTTCTTTTTTTAATATATATACAATCAGTATAAATCATAAGTATGCAATTTTTGAGATATATAATGATGTAATTGTTAGGAAAATCAATCAACTAGAATACTGTTTTAAAATCATACAAATGGACTAGAATGTTACTTTTTATTTGAACAAGTTTGTATATACTAAAATCAAATTTAGAAATACATATACTTCACACTTTTGTATAATCCAATTTATATATAAAGTACTTAAAAAAATCTTAAATTAAATAGATTATTGTTGGATTATCTCTTGTAATACTATCAAATTCTATCATGATGTCAAAATAAAAATAAACAAATTTGTAATTATTTTAAATTAACATGTAAGTGCTAAAATATTTACTAGTGTGATTTGACTTCAAGTATTGAGCCTTGAGAAAATTTTCAAAAATTAAAACTCATAGAATTTTGTGAAAGAAAAGATAACAATCAAATATCTTGAGATGCATTGGAAAAAAAACATACATATATATATATATATATATATATATATGAAAGTGTATGTATTTATAAGTGAATATTGAACATCTAGTGACATAATATTGTATGATTATATATCAAAATTTAATTTGAAATTTTTTTGGTATTATTGTAAGACCATATATTTTTGTAGACATTATAAGATCTCATTTGTGACTTCAAAAAAAAAGTTCTAGCATGTAATCACGTGTAAGTGTAATTGAAAAATGTATTAAATATAATTTAATATTATTCATTGATTTTCATCTTGTATCTTTGATTTGAATAAGCAACAAAAATAAAATAAAACAACCATATGATCAAAACTATTGTCAAGAGTATAGAATATTGAAGAAATCAATCTATGTGAGTATACAAAAAACTAAAAAACCATGTAAAAGATACATATCACAAAAAAGGTGATTAAACACCAATGTGTTTCTTAAGTAGTAAAGTTCTAGAATGGCTATTGATAAGTATAAGAAGGTTAGAAAAACTTCAATCAAGATTTAAGGTAAAGAAAGATGTTGAGAAGATTAAGCATAGCTTTTGTTTTCTATCTACATTCACACTAGCAAACAAAAATACTATATAATAAGTTCTAAAGATCATATACCTTGGAGAACTCTTCCTAGTAGCTTCTTAAATCTAAGAAAAGTTAGAAGAAGTTTCTATAATAATATGGTGTATTTAATAATACTTTTCGAACTAACGTGTATTTAAGAAATTTCTAAGATGTTTTGTGATGAGAAAGTTATTCAACTAGCCTATTCAACTTGTATTTATTTAGATAATATAGATGTTTATGAATTAGATGGTGTGTCTCTTTTTTTTCTTTTTCTTTTTCTTTTTAATTTTTAATTTTTTTTAACCTTATAAATTTGCTTAATATATTTGGTTTTTTTTAAACTTACAAACATTATTAGCATAGTGTTGTTAATTTTTGTTAGTTATTAAGAGAAGGCCTATTTCTCACATTGATGGAATATAATATTATAGACAAAGGACTATTAGATATTCAACTTTGTTAGAAGAATTGATGATGAGGCATCCATTAAAAAACTAAGCTCTCAATCATGTGATGGTTAATAACCATAGAGGCTTTTCTATAGAAGTTAGAATTGAGTTTAATAAATGTCAAATTAGGGTTTTTCTTCATTATAATAATATTTTTTTTCTACAAAAATTTTAACTAGAAAATAGTTTTGTATATCATCTACAACTACTATTGTTAGATTCCCTTGTGTTATTTCAAATGAAATTGAACTAACTTTTTGACATCTATCTCTTTAACTTATTTTAATCTTCAAGCTTTTTATAATGGTGAAAAATTAATTGTGACAAATTAGAACCTATACAAACAATAGAACATTTAAAATTAACTGATGTAACATTTCTCAAAAGTCGTTTGGATGCATAAATATGGTTCACACACATGATTTAGGGACATTTGAATACTTCATTATAAAGAAGAAACATTTATTCCCTACTCAATGGTAATATTAACATTAAATGCATATATGTACTCTATATACACACACACATACATACATACATACATGCATGCATGCATACATACATATATATCTGCATACATACTGTAATCACATAGTTTTTTTTAATTGTATCAAATATTGTATATGTTCCAATCACTATCAAGTATTACAAAGATATAATGTGCTACATTATACATTTGAAGTACAGTATAGTTTATACCTAATTAGTGTGAAAATAATTTCACAAGGCTTGCATACCACACGAAAAAAAAAAAAAAAAAAAAAAAAAAAACTGCTTCCATATCATTAAGTAAAACAAAACAAAGAACCAAAAAAAATAATGACCTCTTCTTCCCATCACAATGTAAAATCCCTCGCCAGACATGACCTTGAATACCCCTCCCCCTTTTCAGGTCCCAAAACATTTTGGGATGGCTACCAAGCCCTTTCGAAAAGAAATGCACATACGGAAGTAAAATCTCCTTTCAACATCCTAGAGATCAGTCTAACATTGTCAAAAATGAAAATTTGTTACAATCAAGAAGGTGAATTTGTTACCCACTTGGAAAAAAACGTGAACACCTATATGAGTTCATATTCATCGATGTGCGAGGATTCGGTACTCGATTCGAAGACTAGAGTTATGTTTCTGCTTTCCTAAACTAATTCACTATGTAAGGTTCCCTGAAAAGAGGGAAAAGATATTAGAATCTGAACTAAAAACGCCAAGATCTTCAGTCATCCACACTGCGAGCGTCAGCATTGAAGACTTAAGGACCTCCAAGATACAACCTCCCCAACTCGTTCAGTAAATATACAAAAAATTAAATGTACACTAGGGAAGGCCGAAAACCGTGTCAGCCAGTACCCTTCTTGGTCAAACCAAGAATTGTTGACACCATAAGCTTGCTGTCAATCGGTTTCGTGAGGTACGCATCCATTCCCACCTGAAGACACTTCGCTTCATCGGATGACATAGCATGGGCTGTTAAAGCAACAACTGGTAAATGCCAATTCTTGCCCTCCTCGGCCTTTCGAATGGCTTTTGTGGCCTCGTATCCGTCCATTCTAGGCATCTGATTAATACAAGCATGATTGTCAGTAACTTTGATACCAGGGCCAGTCTGTGTGCGTCACTCATAACAAATATGAAGCAGTGGATTTGAGTGAAGAATAACGATGGTAGAATGTAGCCTAAACCACATAGAAAGCCACGAAATTGTCAACACAGACTACCACATATCGACAAAGCAGCGACGACAAAAATAAGATATATAAGACGAGGTGTCCAAAACGAAAATACCACCCAGTCGGTATAGTTTACCTGGCAATCCATGAGTACAAGATCGAACCCATCAATTTCCGCAGGAGTAGTAGATTCCTCAGTATCTCCAACATTGTGTTCACCGCGAGATCTACCAATAGTTTCAACAGCTTGCAAACCATCACCGACTGCAACAACACAGGCTCCCATCTTTTCCAGCATGATAGTGGCAACTTTTGCTAAAACTGGTGTATCTTCCGCTAGCAGGATGCGAATTCCAGCTAATGCATTACTGGGACCCAATCGTCTGGCCGGAGGCTTTCTTGGTGCACGACTATGTTTATCTGGCATTACTTCGGAAGGAGGCAGCGAAACAGCAGGCTTGGGTGCAGGCGCGTCTTGTGCAGTTCTTGAGGATTCGGTATGATTACTGACAGTTTGAACGGGAACTCCTCTATCAGAAACAACTATCATGTCAGGTTTGGCAATTTGGTCCTGTTCACAGAAAATTTGAGGAATCTCAATGCCGGGTGGACCAACACTGGGCCCAATAGAGAGTGGCCCCTCAGAGGCATTAAAAAGTGAACTCATGACTTGAGTCTTTGTAACATCTTGATCAGACTGATCGAGAACATCTTGATACTTGGGTGATCCTAAATATGTATCATCTGGTGGATGAGATGTGGCTGGAGGGATGTGCACAACATGGTTCCCATCAGTACCATCTCTAGAATTGCCCACCGGTAACATCGAAGACGATAAATCAGTATCGACAGAGAGAAGAGATGTTTTCAGCGACCCGACCCTACTGCCAGGAGAACCAGTGTCGAGACCTCCAGCAGAACTGGCTGGACTTGCTGATGGACCGAGATTACTGAGGGTGATGAATTCCTGTTCCTCAAGTTGCTGTGTCAGAGGTAAAGACCTCTGAACGCCTCTTGGATTACTATCAGCTGAAATTCCAGGATTTCTTTCAGTCACTAAAAATCGCTCTGATCCTTGATTCACGCCTTCTAACTCCTTCGAAGGCCACTTCTCCAGCACTCTGGGCAGAGACTTAGTGGACCCAGGAAACCCAAGCTTGCTTTGAACCTGATGTGAGATCACACAACTTCAATTAAACTCAGGTATCATGTGCAGAAGTTATCTAAATTTAGAATGGAAACAGGTCTCAGGTGACTACTGCTGCATCTAATTACCGGTTTCCAGTCATGACTCACTTTTTCATTGAATTGGAAGCAACACGTGATAAAGTTTGACATTGCCTCTAGCGTGAAAAAATTATAAAGTAAACTCTAACTCACAAGGAATAATGAGAAATAATCTAAATATAATGTGACAAGGTTTTTCAGATCGTCTTCCAGAAAACAAGGCACAAACCTGTGACTGAAGTTTTTCCAGCTCATGGCGATCTATAGCAGCAGCTTTAATGTCGTCATAGTATCCTAATTTACGTTGGTCGCTGCCAACTGCTTGCAGTGCTTGAGATTCACACTTAAAATGTGTAGAGCTTCCACCTTCTGAGCAGCCCGCCATGGAAGTCAACAATTGCAACAATTTTGACTTGTATAAAGGCTGATTTGCAGTGATAGTATATCCTCTACGCCGTAACTGCGTCTTAAGCGCATTTGGAGTATCATGAGTGAACAGCCAAGAGATTATGATACCCCGACCTCTAAATTCATCTAATACGCTGAACATGGAATCAACTTGATTCGAATCCTCCGACCAATGTATTAGCTCAGAGTCAAGAACCGCTAGTAACTTAAAATCCTGCATTTCCCACTGCTTTGAATTTCCTGACAAGACCAAGCTCAATTCTTCGTCAGGTATTTCATTAGCATCACGAGATGCTGCAGTAGACCGACTTGACTTTACATGGTTCGCTTCAAGCGAAACCAACTCGTCTTTATCAGCGCCCTTATCCCAGCTAACTACGCGCTCATCCGCCAAAAGTTCTTGGAGAACCCGCATTGCCTCATCCCATTCAGATGCTTCATATACATGAAGCCCTTTATACTGCATCCATTGAACCAGGGTACCTCTCCCAACATCTCCTTTCATTGCAAGTAGTACCTGTCGTATAGAATACACGTAAACATACTGTTTAGACTACATAGAATAATTGATTGCTGGAAACAATCAACCCAGGATGTTGCAGTTAAAGAACGAAGGCTGATAGCAAGATTACATCGTGAAGTCATATCGATAAACCCACCTTGGTGTTCTTCAGACCAGCAGGAACAGCCGGACGAGGCGTCTCAGGTTCGCTGTCGACCGGTTGGTTAAACAAAAGGTAAAAGCGAAGAAGCGTCCCAGGCCCTTCCTTCTTCACAATTTTTATGTCTCCTCCCATTTTCCTAACCTGCAACCGCTTGGGCTCAGTCTTACGTGGACTATCAGCTTGAATATGATAAAACTATTCGCAGTTTAATCGAAAGAGACGCCTTGCAAATTTTAACAACATAGTCCAAGGAAAAATGAATCACTTACCAAAGAACGAACAATACAGAGGCCAAGACCAGTTCCTCCATATCTGAATAATGACCAGCGAAGATAGAGAATTTAGTAGGCAAAATCAGTAATTCCAAGGAGAAACAGTGATGATAAGGAACTACTGTGATACTAAGAAAATATGTCCTACAACCACTATATTGTTAACGCAATCAATGAGCAACTACTGGGAAATACACGTACGTCCTCGTAGTGGAAGGATCTGCCTGGACAAAACTCTCAAATACAGCTTCCCATTTGCTTGAGTCGATACCTGCAATTGCAATTGAGTTTTACGATGTGAGTAGTCATGAAGACCAAGAAAAAAGTCGGCTTCAATTCCTCACCATTTAAGAAAAGAATACAAACATGGCAACCATTGACTTCTACAGAATTGCAATAACATTCGTGATTCACTGTAAAGTGTTCGCTGCAAAATGTTTTCTCGTCTTCATTGAATGACCAGAATAGATTGGGTGTTGTGAAACCACAGCATGTAGAATAAAAACTTCAGGGCAATGTATATGGTCGATTAAAAGGGCATCACCAGTTAAATATAATATTAAACAAGTATAGCATGCTTTCCATCAGTCTGATAACTTAGACAGACAAGTTCTGTAAAGACGAAAAGAAAGAAACAAAAGCGGTTGACACATACCACATCCGGTGTCTTCCACCTCGAACCACATAAGAAATTGACTTGGCTCATAGTTATTGGTTACTCCTCCTTCATGACTCAGTCTATTCTGATTCCATGTACTGTCGTTCATCCCAAACAGCAACCCACTCCTCATTGCAGTGGCTGACATATTAGGAGAACTGCACCAACCTCGCAATATCACATGTCCAGCTGCTAGACATAACAACCGAAGTAAATACAAATTTACAGGTGACAGGTAGTTTCATGCAGCATGTTGGTGGTTCTCAAAAATTAAAGACAAAAAAATTTAACATTTCGAAGAACTGCATATCTGGTCTTCAAACTTACACGAGGTAAATTTGACAGAATTCGCAATCAAGTTCGCGAAAATTTGTACGATTCGTGCAGAATCTCCTCTAACCATTCGGGGCATATCATCTGTCCATAATTGTAAAATGAGAAATACTGCACAATTTCCAGGTGCGAATAAAACCCAAGAACTGTTCTTAATGCGCTGCCAAAGTGATAGATCTATTTGAGGACTTCGAATTTATCAATGGGAAAACATTTTGCGGATACACGAACATGTGAGGAATGCATCTTTTCCAACTTGAATTACATGTGATAATGAAATTCGAGTTAACCTACCGGCCAAGTCCAGCACAATTTCTATGTCATGGTCCACGCATTGAACTGAAAACATGTCGACCAAACCTTCAAGCTCACGATTGAGATCAAAATCGGCTGCTTCTAGAACTAGCTTTCCCGACTCCACCTGATTACACAATGCAAACGCCAGATTAAGTCAGAGTTCATAAGTAAAGATCACATTAAGAAAGAAAAATAGGCTCTTTTAGTGACTTGAACTACCAACAAGCCCTGACAATACGGTCCATACGCTTCTCCTCTAATTCCACAGAAGCTTGACTACAACCAAGGCTGAGATACGAGAAAAGAGCACCTTGCTGATATCCAAGATGTTATTGAGAAGGCGAAGAAGTGCAGTAGAACAGCGACGTATTTGAGACACCATGTTAATTTGCTCCGATGAAAGACAATCGTCACATAATAGGATGTCCAGAAGACCTATGACAGCAGCCATTGGTGTCCGGAGCTCATGACTGCAAAATAAAATGTAGCAACTAAGAAACAATACGAGCCTCTTTCTGAAACAGGAGACACAAAAAGGAACGTTATCAGAGAGTAAATCAGAATCCCTGTAACTTAGATATAAGAAGCATCGGAAGCATGCAAAAGGAAAGAAAAAAGACCTCATGTTTGCTAAAAACTGGCTTTTATAGTTACTAGATGCCTCCGCTCGCCTTCTTGCATCAAGATGATTGATTAGCTCAGCCCTGAGCTTCATCTCAGTAGACACGCCACTTGTAAAAAATATGATAAAGAAGCAGCCAACAAAAAGAATGCAACAAGAGATAGCAATCAATATTGCCAACGTAGCTCTTCCACTTCGATCCACTTCTCCCATTACATACGTTCTTGGTATGATAATCACACCAACCTGCAACACATTTACGCAAAATAAAGGTCAAATTACAGAAATGCAGGAGGTTCTCCAACGTCTGTTTTCAAAATATCATGACAGTAGACGCTAGAAGGCATTCCTTTTTAATGCAAAGTGATTCTAAATAAATCGAGAAAGAGGAAAACAACACCAAAAACAACAATAGTAATAATAATCACAAACAACAAAGTTGAAATTAAACAGCCAGCAAATGTGCTAGAGTGAACAATAGGAACAGTAAAAGGAAAATTGCTGCCAAGAAGATAGTTAGTGCCAGATGCATTACCATCTGGAGTCCGGAAAGCGACAAAGAAAATGTGTCAATGTAATAACGTTTTCCCTCCAGAACAACATTTTCTGCATGAACCACTGTTTTAACCAGTCCTTCAAAACCATGGCGAGCATACAGCCACTGAGCCCCAGCTTTTATGACTGGGTCACTCGATTCATTCGCCAACACAAGGGTTCTTCTTGGGCCTGACGAATCTATCAAGGAAGCATTTGTAGAAGTCGCCAAAAGCTGACCATCTGCGGTTGTCAAGTACAAGTAGCCGCTGTGCGAAGATGTAAGTTCCCGGAGAAACTGACTGATGCTGGAAAGTGCAGCTGTAACTCCAGTCACCGCCACAACAATGCCTGAATCCCGATAACGAACCGGGGTAGCACTTGATAAAAGTGGTGTATCATCCGATTCAGTCACAACCAGACGCCACGAGACTTCAGTGCTCTTCAGCGCCAGTACATAATCGATATTCTTAGACAAATCATATGATGTAATGTTTATAGGGGTAATGTTTATAGGGGAACTGGCTTTTCCGGTGTATGGATTGATCGGCTCTTTGTACCATGTTATGTTGCCATTCTCCAGAGGAATATCGGGCCACATGGTTACAGGAGCAGGAGCATCTGTTGCAGGAGAAGGAGCTGGTGAGGCACCAATCACAGACACTCCACCTAATGGCGCACCAACAGAAGGATCTGTGAATATATAGAAGGTCTCGTTGGTTACCATATTTCTATCAAATGCTTGTAGTTGGCCATTTCTGTAAGCAATAGTAATAGACTTTGCAGATTTCCGACCTGCATAAACTGCCCAGAAAATATTCCTCATGGTCCTATGTACCTGCATATTAAATGCATCCCAGATCAATGCCATTCTGATTTTTTCCTCCAGCAAAGAATGAGCATCAGAGTTCTTCAATGACGGCCTCTCGAAATTATTTTGTAACAGTCAAAGTATTTCAAACTATGTGATCATCTTTCAAATTAATACGCGACTTGATCCTGCATTTCATGTCGAGCTCGTTCGTATGTGCCACATTAATGCTTGACCATATAGATAAAAATCATGAAGTTAAATGCTATGAACAAGGACCTACCTGCACTTGCGTGGATGCATCGATAGGAAGAGTGTATTCCCCTAACACAAACTGTGAGAGCTGAACTTGACTCAAGGTGGCTTCAACGGTGTTATTCAACAGGTTCCACATGCGGGCAATAGGACGATTCAGAAGCTCGGTACGTAGACCAAAAGCCAAATTCTTAATTGACCTCGTGGTATATACCGTGGTGAAGTGCCACGTCAAAATAGTCAACAACGCTATCAGAACAGCCAACATAATCTGCGGAGAATTACACACATAAGACAACGTCACAAAATTAGGAGAAACAAAGTCATATTATAAACAGAAGTGTTAATACCGAACGAAGCCACTGAAAACAATATTCCTCTTGCGAACAATCATGATTGAATAAACAGGACTACAAATTAGGGATGAGTGTTCCTCATTTTCCAGCAGTTGCAGCAACATGAGCAACAGAAATTCAGATTAAAAATCTTGTTCATTAGCACAAAGTATGAATGGAATGCGAAGACACCCAGCATGCTCATAAACAACTACTCTTTTATATACAAGGGTAATAATGAAAGTGACAATCACCATGATCGCCAGGCGAACAGAAAACATGCTGTAGTAATATGTCCGGCGGTGTGGACGACGAAATCCATTATCCTGATGCTCATTCTCGGGGTCAGGAACTCGGACGTTCTGAGTTCGACGGCGACGTTTGCAGCATCGCGCGAGAAACGCAGACCACTTCGTCATGCCTCCCAACTTTGAACAAGCACACTTGTTTCGTGCTTTGGCGTTACTTGGCAATACATCCTTTTCTTTCCACTTTTCCAAATGAACTGCGGCAGCAGTTGCAACGTGTTAGCAACCAGTAAATTAGAAGTTTTCTTGTGCACACATCTATACCCTTCCAGCATGAATTGCACAATGCCGTTCATAACCAAATTGTCATAGATTATCATACACAAAGACCAACTTCCAACACTGCTCTGATTCCTGTAAAAGGTATCACTTGCATATAAGCTAAAAACAGCTTTCCAGTTCCCAGCGTTGCGTCATAGTCTAAAACAAAGTGGGGTACGCCAGTTTTATTAACGTGGTCAAGATAGAATGATGAAATAAAGTAAAAAATAAAAAAACCTCCTTGAATTTCCCCGATATCGCTGTCCTTACACGAAATTTTCCGCTATACTAATAAACTACTATTGAACAACTTCAGCCTTATAACCAGGCCGAACTAGAAACCCAAAGAAAACTTGATGAGTCCATCCACAGAGACACATACACACATTCCTAGAAATTAATTGATTGATTAAGTGTGTATTCATTATAGTGTTACAAAAAAATACTAATAATAGTAGTAATCAATAAATTAAAAAATCCGAGATTACAATTCACTCTTATTGCAAGATACACATGTAGAGAAGAGAGTCACTAGCACATATATGTTTATAAACAAATTTCTCAATGAGAAAAAATCAGATCATAACACAGCGGTGGATATCCTACTCAAGTATCGTCTATATACAGGATGCTGCTCGACCTGAAAATAGAGTACTAACCAATGGTAGCAACGGCTTCATGGTACGTTTCTCTACATGGAAATATAATACTAATACTAAGTGACTAACTAAATAAGTAACCGTTGTTCTTTTTTGAAAAAAACAATGTGTTCAAGTCGTACACTGCATGACTACAGCAGCAGAAAGCTTCAAAAAGGTGGAAATAACCAATGATGCCGAGACTGAAAGCTGAGTAAAAATGCATTCAGATGAGAAATGTCTGGTGGATAGAACTTACAAATCTGAAACATTACAAGAAGAAACCGGCAAAACTGCGCAGAATCTTTCGGCCCTGACTGCTGGCACGCAACTTGCCAGCGCTGGATGCTGCTGACTAATCATCCTCCGCAACTGACTGGACGGCCATTGACCTGTGCTTAAGAGAAGTCAAGTTTCAATGACCAGAAATACTGCAATAGGCACAAAGAGGATAAGGTGGCCACGCATGTAGGAACCATGAGAACCGAAACGTGAATCTGAAATTTGACATTATTGACTGCCAACTACCAACAAATCATTTGGAAGGATTCGCAATAACAAGCCAGATCATAATCCGAGAAGGAGAATGAGTAGAATCCAATACTTGATGATCCATCATAGGTTAATGACCAAACTTCCCAGAGAACCACAGGGCAATCATAGTTTACTGGAATCTAATGCATTACTAGCCATTCCGATATCACCCCAAAACTTCCTGGGATCCTGAGCTAGTGCTGAAAGTTACACTTATCATCGTAGCTAGATCTGCTAAACGTTTGCGAGAGACACAACTTCCGTCTCCGCAGCACCATCAAAATCATGTGTAAGACAATATCGTTGTGCCCCAAGGAACTTGACTAGTACAAAGAAGAACCGAGCTAGTGGCCGCGAGGTCACATAGCTACCTAGGCAGTACCAGGTTGACCTAATGATTTCAGGCGAAGTGATTGACTGACGCAACCTCGTCCTGCTCCGTACGAATTAAAGTCAACCCTGATGTGCATCTAATCAGAACGTGGCGGCAGCGTCGGACTCAAGCATATAACAAGTGTAAACACAAAGTCCTCCTGAAATCGTTTGCCCTCCCCATCTAATCACCGAGGGCACGACTGTGGTACTCGCTTCAAGTGCCGTCCGTCTCGCGTACAAGACCACCCGGCCATGAACCAAACCAACCTGTAGAAAATCTCCAGAGCGTCGAAAACATCCCTTCCGCATATATTCTAACTATATCATCCTGACAAACTCCGGAACTGGATTCCACATCAATCTTCGAGACTGGAAGTGCGCGCTACAGCTATTTAGCACAAACTTCAAGAGACAGAGCGGGCACAGTAACATGTTGAAATGCCCCAAGTGAAGTCCCACGGCACAGGTCAAGACACCACAAGACAAGGAATTCAGACGCAACTCGCCTCGGCCGACGCAGAAACTGCAAGACAAGCCAACGCCAGACGGCAACGCACCTGGAGCGAGAGGAAGATCACGATCTAACCCTAGCAGGAGGGAGTAATGAGCCAGCCTGAGAAGGACCGCGGAAACAGAGATAGCAGAAGCGAGAAGATGAGAATGACGAGAGGAGAGATAGAACACACGGAGGACTATCCCATCCGACAGGGCCCCACAGAATAGTTCGGGTGTGAATGCTAGAAAAATAATAATAATAAATAAACAGCAAAACAGATGCAGCGCCAACTGAAAGGCGAGGCGCAATTCAGGGAAGGAAGGAAGGCAAAGCGAGGCTTCTTCTACCTCTCTCTCTCTCTCGCTCGACGACAATCACTCGCGTGTGGCTGCATGACTTGTGCTCCATTGCAACGAGACATGAAACCACCATCCCCAATCACAACAAGTTCCAACCAGTTTCTATTCTCGTTCCCCCCCCGCGCCTTCGTCGTTGCCGCATCTAGTCGCTTCCTCACGACCTCGATGAATCGGTGGAGCCTCCGACGCGCATGAATGAAGAAGCGCATGGATTCCTCGACCTCTGCAGCTCGGTTGCAGTATTCCTACGTCCATCTGAAACGCGGTAATAATAAGGGCATCGTTGAAGAAGGCACAGGGTCTTGGCTGCCATGCAGAATCAGAGACGACGATGATGATGGTGATGGAAGTTTTGCAAGCCCGCCCTCTTCCTTCCTTCTCCATCCAATTTTGACGGGCGCGGGGCCCAGGCTTGGGAATTCAAATTGCCTTGAAATAGACAGAGAGGGAGGGAGCTCGGGGTTAGTGGGCCCTCTCCTCCTCATCCAATCTATCAATCTATATCCTTTTTCGCTTATTCTACTTTATTTTTATTCTCACCACTTTGTTGTTAGCTTACTTTTTTATATTTAGTTCCTTTAATCCACTTTGTTTAACTTTTTCGTTTTTAATGTTTTATTTTTTGGTGTTTTGAATGTGTGTTAGTACCCTTGTGCATGGCAATAAAAATTAATTATTTTTGTGGGTTTTTTTTTGTCAACATTGTGCACACACTTCAATAGATGGGGATGTTGTGCACGCCATCCATGGGAGGAGAAATAAGGGTTTTATTTTATTTTTTATTTTTATTTTTACAAATTTGTGATTTATTGTATTTGGAGCCATTTGCATGTCTTGGTAGTAGGACAATTCTCTTTTCAATGGTGTTCATTGATGGAGAATAAGTAGTAAAAACATGACTCAAAAAAAAGAATATATATATATATATATATATATATATATGATCAAATATAATGTGAATTTGAACATTTCATTGATTTCAATGAGTAAGATCATGTGTGACATATAGAAAAGGTTAATGAGGATGATGTGTTTGGATAAACTACAAATGCAATGATCAATGGGTATTTGTTTTTAAAGCTAATTCATTACCATTGTTGTGTATGTGTGTGTGTGTGTGTGTGTTTTTTTTTTTTTTTTTTTTTTTTTTTTGAATATAATCAAATAAACCAAATAAACATTATATTATTAAGTACATTTTATACTCAATTCTAATGATAATTTTAACTTCCCCATTTATCAAGTATATTTCATAATAACTTTGTCAAGATATTTGCTGCGTTTATTTTCTTATCTATCATCTCTTTTTTAATTGTATTTTATATGAATGCGAAATGATAAACATTATACGTTGTTAGATGTATAGCACTTTGACTATCTCAATTTAACAAAGTCTAATCTCCCCATTTATTTTATTTTTTAGATTGTCCATGTGCTTAATAATCACATTTGCAATACATACAAATTTGATCCAATACACATTGCACACCTGAGACTATCCACTATACATACATATAAAATACTTGACATTTTTTCACTTTAATTCTCAAAACTAGGATAATGTATTGAAGATAGCATAGACATAGTTGTTGATTTATTTATTTACTTATTTTTTCATGCTAAATTACATATATGTATTTCTAACTTACCTCTTATGTGAAGTCTAATCTATGCCTTGTAAAATTTCTACAAATATCAACACATATAATTTGTTTTGCAATTTTTAGGTAGTTCATATCAACTAGTTTACTTGGTTGCATCTTTGACATATCAATATTATTATTTTTCTGTTTGCTGGAATCCACATATTATGACACACTACAAACAAAACATAACTATGAAAGCTAGTCTTTTGTAGTTACCTAAAATACATACAAAACTCATAATCATACCCATCTCTTCTTTATAACTTTATCCAACATTACATTAGTAAGATTATACTAAATATTTCTTAATATTTATTAGAAAGTTTGCTCACTTTCTTTGATAATCTAGAATACTGGTTTTGTTTTCTGATGCTTTGACTAGTCTTTGTTGTACAAGATAATTTTTAACTTTACCTACCATAATCTTAATGTTTGATAATTTTAAAATAATTTTATTATAGATATTACTCTAAAATTCTACATCTGTATACAGATATTCTTTTAAACTCATTTTTCTTATTGTACTTAAAACACTTGTTATTTACAATTCTGTTTGCTCGTGGTCATGGCAGGAGAGGAAATTGTAAGACTTGAATTAAATACAATATCTAAAATATTTTAAATACAGTTTCATATGTTTGCAAAGAGTGAACCTTCATTCAAAATGTACATTTAGTTTGCATACATGTTTGTCCACTTCATGCTCTTGTTTTGGATATATATATATATATATATATATATAATTACAGTCTTTTAATTTAATATTTTAAGCATTATTATATATATATACATATATTACAAAAATAGACATTAACTATATTTTTTTTATATGGTTCTTTCATAAATCAATCATAAGAACTGTAATGGTAGTATGTGCACATATTTTGTTGAAAATATCAGTTTTTTTCAACAAATATTGATTTCAATGGAGCATCTTCAACTTCGATGTTTCTATTTGCATTTGAATGCAAATCACTCAAGAAAGTAATAATAATAATAATAATAAGCTGTGAGGTCCTCTGGAGAACAAACAAAATCCACATTGAGTATGCAAAGCTGTTGATTTCAGTTCATTCCAATAGTGTTGATCATTGACTCAGAATGAAATATTCTACCCTGCAGATCTAAGAGTATAAATTCAAGTTAAAACCCATACAACAAAATAATTCAAGCCTTGATGTTTTGTACTAGAAAAAAATCTATGTGCATCAATTTGAGGAGTTAATGGGTCACTTTTTTCACCAAATGTTCTTTGAAAATAACAACAACCTCGTAGTCAAACTTACAAAAAGTAAGCCAAAGCAAGCAAGTGTATGTGTATTTATATAAATAAATAAATGTGAATGTTTTTTGGGGAATCAAAGGAGAATTAACTCCTTTTGACTTGGTCTTAACTCTAACTTCTAGTCCTCATCTTGCACATGGGTGAAATATTTAATAACATTTAGTGAGGGTATCCTCATTTTTATTTATTATGAGACTATTTCAAAACTGTAGTAGAGATTTGTAGCCTTACAAATGCAGAGGATTGTGCCACCTCATCAACGTGGTATGTGTGATCCTTATAAATAATCACTTCTAGCAACATACTTGAAGATGGTCCTTCAATAAATTGTGGGTGTTCAGATGTGGGAATACATGAATTAAGTTTTATTTTTGTTTTCATGATTTTTGAATATTTATACAAATAAATCAATTTTTATGAGAGCACATGTTCCTATAAAATATGAAATTCTTGTGGTTTAGATTGAAATTTGAAATGCATGATTGAGATTTGGTTTTCGTTATTCTTCTCTCTTTTGGATAGTGTTTGAGTGATAATACAAATAATATTTATGAGCATTGCTACAATCATTTATTCTTGAACTTTTCTGAAAAAAGATATTAAGATAACCATTCTACGCAAACAATAATTATTACTTAAACATACTTGTGTCTACTACATGTTTCATATAAAATTAATTGTAGAAATTAAAGTGTAATTTTAACCATAGAACACCCGAAAATAATAACATGAGAGAAATGTTCTGACAAGAACAGTGTAATATTTGGTACAAATAAACACAACATAATCATATCACACAATCAAATCCAAATAATACTTGTTTTGAAAAACAGCCAATTTAAGTACAATACAATAAGTTTTCTATTATTTAACTTCTTATGGTGTTTAGGTTTCTAACATGCCGTGTTTACAACTTGTAAAAGTAGTACAAGACTTAGAATTTCATTGTCAGTAAAGTTATGCTACTCAATTTTAATAACTTTTTCAACTTCTGAACATCTTTTAACTGCAATTTAGTGCTAAATATTCTTTTAGCAAGTGAAACAAATCAATGAGTGATTATAGCAAGGAAATAAAAATAAAAATAAAAATTGTATATTCATGTTAGATCCAATCTACTACCATAGTGATGCTCCATATTAATATTTTCAAAAGCACATTTTACCAAAAAAAAAAAAAAAAAAAAAAAAAAGAAGAAGAAGAAGAAGATAGAATACATGAAATTTTTCAAGTTGAAAAAAATCTACTCATATAAATTTACATATATTTGCAAACAAGTATATAATAAATCAATATTGTATCACAGTTCTCTTGGTAATAATAGTGCTAGTCGACTTACTACTACTATATTATTTTTACATATTATTAAAAAATTAAATGGTCTATGATGTTAATTTTTTTCTATTGGGAAATAATGATCATTTTTATGGTTTTATTTTCTCTCTTTAGTCAGAGATTGATTTATATGTACATGTTATTCTTTTTACATTTTATATTTTACATTATAACTACATGCAAGTGAATGACAATATTCTTATTTATAAAAACACTATATCAATTCTATAATTAATTCGACTGTCCTATCTAAATTCAAATTTTAAATAAAATATCATGCTTTCCATAATCATTATTTATAATTTCAAAAATGAATAAAATTCACTTAAATAAATAAATAAGTAACCTCATCCACAAATCAATACTGACATAAATTAATGTGATCCAGACTTTAATACATGCTTATAGAGTCCTATCAAATTATAACAAGTTGTGAAAACATTTGATGTGTTTTTTATAATTCTACATGATTCTCTCTTTTTGTTTTGTTCTTTTTTCTTTCTTTTTTTTCCTCTTCTTTCAGTATTAATTTATTAACTTTTAGAAATTCAAAGATTAATTTCAAGTTCATTTCGTTTTTTTAAATTCACCAATGAAAAAATAAAAAAGACCCTGCTAAACAAATTCTAGATTTTCAAGCACACAAGGAACAATGGTTGTAACAAGTTTTAAATAAATATTTGTGATTAGCTGTTATTTGTTTACGTATATTTTGTGCATGCTACTAACTTTTTTATTTTTATTTTATTTTATTTTTATTTTTATTTCATTTTGCCTTTATAATTTGTGCCACAAATTAGTGAGATGTTTTTTGAAGATTGGTTTTATTCGTTTTATAAAACATACTCAAGAACTTATTATTTTAATAATACTGGGGGGTTTAGAAGGGTTAACAAATTTACTGAAGGCTTTAGTTAACTATAGGTTGTGAAAGGCCAGCTTCATGTAGTTCAATGTAGATTTCATTTGGGATTTTGTAACAACCCTTGAAATTTTATTATTATTATTTTTTTTATGTTTCTTAACATATAGATATAATGAGTTTATAAGTGCACATTTCTAATGAAATCATCAAAAACATTACTTATTTGCACATATAAATATAATATAAGATGAATTACATTGTATTTAGTTTTCATGTCTTTCAACACAAGTTTTGTTAATGAGCTTTTAAAAAAGGATATTCCTATTAATTTGTAAAGTGACTAATAGTTCAATCATCAATCTTGTAACTAATAAAAATATATGCAATTTTAAATTCACACTTAGTCTCTTCAATTACTCACTTGATTCTTTTGGTCAATTGGTTTGCAAGACCTTTGTTGATTATGCACAAGAACATAACATTCATTATATTTTACATTCTTCTTCTTTTTCTTCTTCTTTCTTATTACTATTTTTTTCCATATACAATCTCCCAAGTAAAAAGTAGCTATTACCATGTTCCTTGCAATCTTATCACATGTTATTTTTTTTTTACAAAAAATTCTCCATGTTATATAAATCTCAACCGTATCATTTTTTATTTTTAATATAAAAAGTCATTCCACTAATCTATTTCAAACACAATTTTTTTATTTTAAAATCAAGATAGTTCATAAACAAAAGTCTCTCTTAAAAATCATGCATTACAAATTTTCTTAAATCTTAATGATGCATCACCACATGCTAACATAGTTTGTTTTCTACAAAAGTACCATCAAAGAATCTCGTTTTCTTTTTTTTTTAAAATATATATATATATATATATATATATTCATTGGAACTAGTTAGTTTATAGTAAAGAAATGTAACCCTTTCTTCCTTAGATTCTTTGTACCTTCGTACACTCCCAAAACTGTTTATATATATATATATATATATGTGTGTGTGTGTGTGTGATGTTGATGCTCACTATTGAACAAGCAAGCACGCAAGCAAGCAAAACGTGATATTTTAAAATTAATATTAAAATTCTACACTATTCATGGCAAGTGTTGACTATTACAGTGGATTTATTACCAAAAATACCACCCAGCCATGATTCGACACGTGGCATGACAGCCACACCTCACACCATGTTTTGTTCGTGGCTCGGCCAACTCGGATGCGCACGTGGCAGACTCAGGAGCACCAGGCGGTAAGTCGATGCTGACATGGCACTCCAACAATCGACTCTCCGTCAATCCCTTTCCTGATCTGCGTCCGTCGACGTCGGCCAGCCTGTTTTCCCTGCACACGTCCGTCTCCGTCAACGCAACGGACGGAAGACGAACGACCGTGGTCATCGTCGTCAGTGCGGCGCTGTGTCTGGTGGCTCTTGAACTACTACTACTGCTCTCTTGGCTTGTTCAATGCTTCCTTTCGTTTACAGAGTCTTCGCATTACCGGCCTCGGATCGCCGCCGCATAACATGAGCAGATTCGTTTACGGGTTCGGATACTGTTCCCGCTGGCAGTCGAGCGATCAGGTTGTCGAGACCGAAAATGTTATGACATTTTGCAGCAATTTCAGCCCCTGTGGATGAGCATGAAAGGTTTCTTCGATCGAGAGTTTCGGGCAGTTATGGCCAGTTAGTGTGTTGGTCGCTAACGTCCGTGATGTCGCTTCTCTTTACGACCAGGAGACGTGGCTGTAGAATTCGAGATCGTGGACCTGCCGTCTCCAGTGATTATTTTACATGGTCTTGTGTTCGTACAGTGGTGCAGTAAGCTGTTTGTTGTTTGTGGATTGCTCGGGGGTGACGATTGCAAGGTTTAGTTGCGGGCATTGGACACGTGATTGAATTGCGTTGGATTGTTAAGGATTTGATTTACGATGCGGAGGGCGTCGACGACGCTCGGTCACGCCGCAGCTGTTGTAATGCCTGGAGTTGTGATCATGCCGCTTACGGCACCGGACAGACTGCGTCTGTACCGTCGCTGCTTTCACGAGCTGGAGGAGCAGTTGTTGATTCTTCAAGTAGAAGGGCGAGAAGCAGAAGTGCGTAGTTTGCAGGCGGAATTGCGATTCTTGGAGGAACTCATCATGGTCTTCACCACACTGAATCCGGCCTCTCCTAACAAACAGTTAATATTTATCCTTCTGAAACTTCCTTTGAACTCTCCAGGTTACTGGGAGAGAATTTCATCTGATCAGGGAACCAAATGCTTGGCGGGTGGGTTTTTTTTTTTTTTTTTTTTTTTTTTTTTGTTATTAGATTGCGTGAATGTTAACATCAAATACTTGCTGTTGCAGAATTAATATTCTCTCTCGACATGAATGACGAATTGTAATTTACTCTAACTCGCATTTCTATTTAAATGGTATTGGGCCATACTTTTGAGAGTCGTGCAGAGTGCTCTCCCCTGAGGTTTGGATGGAGGATGCTGCAGTAGAGGAATTGGATCTTTCTCTGGTTACTGATATTCTTTTGCTGAGTGCTTCTTCACCTTGGACTGTGTACATTGCTGACCGCAGCCAGGTCCATTCCAAACTACCTCATCACCACAGGAAAACTTTTTCGATGACTAAACTACATTATTTTTTCCATGACCGCTCATGTAAACTGGATGTGAGCTACTATTAAGCTCACTATGATTTGACGTGCTTCGGGTGTAACGAGGTTTTTACTTGGGGTATGCACTGCTGGTACAGTGGTTGCTATGTTTCGCGTCCCCAAGCGTGAAACGCACGACGGGTTGGAGTTCACAAGAACTTGTTGGCACTGCAGCATGGGGTGCTTGTCACGCTGACGACTTTCCTGTGGTCCAGCTTGTAAATTTTGTAACCGACTCCCTGACATGAAAATTTCGATCAAGTTGTTCTTAATGTACAAGCTGCAGCATTATTTTTTGTCAAATTGTAATATCTATTATGATCGTGAAGGTTTCTCTCTTGCAGATGTTGCACTTGAGAGACAGTGAACCATCTGGAGGTAGTGTGATATACAGACGGTTGAGAAAAGATCGTTCTTATGTTACCGTACAGGCAACAGGTCGAGCTATTGGCACAAGGTTTGCACCCAAAGCCCATAGCAAATCTTAGACATTGCCTTACACACAGCTGGATCTCTTTCATTTTCCTTGAGATTTCCCATATGACCTTCAGCGCTCAGTTGACTCAAGTTTAGGAATCCCAAAGTGGACAAGATTTTGTCATTGCATGAGTATGACCTCTTGTGACGACTTTTGGGGTAGTTGTAATGGAAATATTTGGTTGTACTGATTCTAAAAACCATGAATTAACTAAAATCTATGTCATTCGGCAGGTGGTATGCGTGGGTAGAGCAGGACATACTAAACTTTTCTCCAGCGGTATGTTGTCATTACTGACTTGTGAAATGTAAAAAAAAAAAAAATTACAGTCCGTTGCATTCTTGAATTGGCATGTAAATGCACTCAGACCTCACCAATGCATCCTTGTATCTGCAGACCCACCAGGAAGAGCTTTCTCAGGTGAGCCAGAACAGAGGAATCGCGAGAAGTCCGAAGCAGCAGGTGGTGGAAGGAGACATCCCTTTCACGATTCGGCCACGTAGACTATCTTCACCTTGGATTGCTCCACCAGAGGTTCCCAATCCAAATTGGGACCCAGTAGCTGGAGGCAATAGAATAGTTTCCGCAACAGTTGCTGCCCCTTCTCTCAAACTGCAAAGCAAAGGCTATGATGGGATAGAATCAGAACCCGACGAAGTTATTACGGTAAAGCCAATTTCGACACCAGTAGGCGAAGCCTGCACTCTTGAGGTGTGAACTACCTCTCAAACCATTTTCCGCTACCATTATCTCCGCAGCCAATGAATACATTGATGTTTTTGTACGATCATAATGCTAAAATTAGTTTTGTTGCTGTGATTGCACCAGTTACAACCACGATCTCAGGAAGTTGCGACAATCCCTACTATGTTGAGGTAAGTTTTTGAATTATTTACGTTTATTGTTGCTTGGTTTCGGCTGTGCTGCAATGAGCAAATGGGACTTATATTTCGTTTCTTCGTTCAAACGTAATCTTAAGATATGTCCCTTGTTAAGTTTTTGGCCTTTGGGATTTTGTTCTTATCGGTGTGAGAGTGTGGTTACATGAGTGCTCGGTGCACAGTGCAGAGGCAGAGCAGAGTGGAGCATGTTCCGCACCCATCAGGTCCAGCAACATTGAGGCCGGAGACACTATAGCAAAACTCGGAAAGAGTAAAGGAGCTGCACCAGTAGCCGCCTGCACATTCAACTCAAGACTCGATGAAGCTCTTCCAACTTTAGACGGAAAAGAGCTCATCCAAGGAAAAAAGGTCGGAAACAGATCTTCCTATCGTCGCGTATTTAGCCAATGCCATGTGTTGATAGCGTAATTCAAAGCGGGGATTCCAGATCTAATCGTGAATAGAAGACAAATCTGACACAATCAAGTAAACACAGGACCTCGTAATCACGATGCCTTGGATTTGTGAAAATTTGGAGTTCTTGTGAAGGGTTTGCAGTCGTTTCTACATTAATGAAATGCTGATTATGGCTAATGGAACTGAGCCTTGAAATGTGTTCCAAAGTTCCCTGAATCATTTCTGTTAAGTTGTTCAGGTATTGCTGGCAGAGGATGATGCAGTCAATCGCAAGGTAGGACAACGTTTGTTGAGAAGTCTAAATTGCGATGTCACAGTAACATGTAACGGTCAAGAGGCTCTGGATGTGCTCTGTCAAGTACCTGCTTGGCCAGAGTTGCCAACAAGTGATGAGGTGATGACCCCACGGTTCGATTTGGTTCTTATGGACCTCCAGATGCCTGTCATGGATGGAACACATGCGGTAACAGACTTGCCCCTTTTCACCATGCGATAAAACAATGCCAAAACTTGTATGAATTGTTATCATTAGCTTATCAATAATGTGGCCGTGCAGAGAAAACTCTATCTATAACCAGTCGAAACCGTGTTGGTGGGAGCAAGAGGGACAGGGATGAGGATCTAACTGTACCTTCTTTTGGAATACAGGTGCAGCTTTTTCGAGAGTGGGAAGAATTGCAAGAACCGCCAAGAAAGCGCATGACGATTTTTGCACTGACTGCTAATGTCAGCGGTAAATCTCCATCTGCATCATTCCACGTTTGTATGGCTTCATTGGTTGACGGATGAGTAAATTTCATTGGTGCATACCTTGAATAAGTTGAAACAGCCAATTATGTTGAGGTGAAGGCTTGTTGCGAATTTGGGAGGTTCGTGTTGTAATTTGACCATTAAGCTTTTTTTGGGGGGGGGGGGGGGGGGGGCAAATCTAAAAACGTGCACACATGTCTAGATCAAATTCAAGAATGGCTTTGATTGGAGAGTCTGAAAGCTTCAGACCCAATTCCTTTGCTTTCGAGTATAATTTTCATGTCTCCTGCTGTTCGGTATGTGTGGATAATGCCATGTAAATGGCGTAACCGATGTATTATGTTGTTCTTATCAGATCGCGACATGGTGAAGTGTGCCCAAAGTGGTTTCGATGAATTCGTGAGCAAGCCGTTAACGATTGAGAAATTGATTGAGCGAATGAGAAACATCAAAAATGATGATATCCATAATCGGGGCCTTGACTTGTGAGTATGAACAGTTTACGTGGATCGCTAATACTGGAGCCTCCCTTCGCACCAGTTCACAAATGAGAAATTCCGTTTGTAAGACATTCCTAGAACTTGAGGACGGCACTCTTCTGCATGGAGGCAGATAATGTGTAAACTTTTTGTCTCAAAGTTTACAAAGCGCAGTGAGGACTCCGCCTTCGGGAAAACTGCAATTGAACGGAACGATCTAGAAGAGGAGTTTAGATTGCTACGCAACCTTTTAATAACGAATGCTTGCACAGAACTGAAAATCTATCACAACTTGCTCAATATCTCGTGTTTGAGAATCATTGCTTCAGCTTTAATTGCAGGGTCGTGTTATGATCGATCCTGATGAACGACGATAAATTCTTCTAGATTCTTCATATTTGCTATCTGCAAAGTCGTTGCAGAGAGTGGACTTGTTTTTGGAAATGGGTTGATATTTAGTTCTCGCTTCAGTGGTTTGCAACTGGATTCAATTTTCCCAATACATCTCGTGAATTAAGCCGACGACGGAAACAATTCATGCCACGCGCTCGATTCCTTCCCAACTTCACCAGACGTTTGTCCCCAACTATACTTGCGACACTTCCGATTCGAGGCTCCAACCACCACCTGACGGAGCTACACAAAACAGACAACGCACTTTTCACACAGACGCTCGCGCACTTTTGCATCGACCAAGGCTGCTGGATGTTCGACACTTGGTTGAACATGAGTAGGGACATCATGCAGCAGGAAGTTGATGGAAATAGACTGCCCTTGATTACCGCATCACTATCAGGACCATGAAATCACGCTCACATCTCACCACGAGAACCAGCTTTAGTGACTCTTTCTTTTTTTCTGTGCAACCTGGAGGAATTGCATTATGGGCATAGAGAGCATGGTGGCCTCCTACTCCACGACGCCGACAGCGGAGGAGAATCATGGCCACCACTCTCTCTCTGTGTGTCTTTCTTTCATTCCTCCTTTCCATTGGGTGTGCTGTTTCCCACACGACTGACTGAGGCCATGTCTATGGACGCTGCCTCCGGTACTGCTGCCTCGCTGTGGTGCCAGTTGCTGGCTGTGACACTCACTACATGTCACACACAAGCGTGGGTCTTCTAGCTCAAGATCCCCGCCCCCCCGCGTGCGGAGTGTGCAAGAGGACATGAATGGAGGCAGCAGCAAGGGACGCAGAGGGATATTGAAGAAGAAGAAGAAGCCCAGGAGGGGGAAATGTGAACACCGTTGCCTGCCTGCCTCCGCAAGGCGTGGCGGTTCAGGGGGAGGAGGCGGAAAACGACGACGACGATACCACGACGAAGTCGACGCCGACGCTGTCCTGGAGGACGATACAATGACGAAGTCGACGACGACGATGTCCTAGTGGACGATACCACGACACCGACAGATTGCGTCAGGATTTGTGAGCTACTTTTGATTTAGCTTTAGCTTTTTCGTTTCTTTTTGTGTTTTTTTCCCTTTGGGATTATTAACCTAGAATCCTGATGTTAAGGGTTCTGAGTTCGTTGTGATGAATTTCTTGGTCAATGTGGATGCAGGTGTGCATGGTGTGTGAAATGGGATTTGAAGTCTTGCTTGATGGAAGTGTTGTGGAAACGGAGTTTATGTTGAATATGTGTATATACATATATATATATATATATATATATATTGGTCTAAACTCAAAAAATTAATTTATAAATAAAAATACAAGTTGTCAAAAACCAAACTAGAAATGTCTTGGATGTATTATGTGAAAACTTGAACTGGTTTGTTTTGTTTTGTTTTGTTTTTTTCTTGTTTTTTTTGGATCCTTCTAATTTAAATTTAATTTAGAATTGTAATTTTAAGTATCATAACTTAAAGAAGTATTCAGCTACAATGACTTCATTCTAGTGATTATATTTTGGAACATGTTCTTGGGAATGGATTTTCAGTGTATTGTAATTTCCAATTTACATTGGTTTTACAAATAGAAAAGTTGGTTCAGTTTTTTGAGATTTTGAAAGCATTCGGTGGTTCTATAATTAACATTTCTAAACTTGGGTACTCCATTAATTGTGGTAATATACTTCTATGCTTATAAATTCATCATATATGATTTGTAATAATATATTTATCTCAAGAAAATTTCTTTTACATTAACGGATTGTGTTGAGTTTGAATTTGGACTATAAATCATTATTTTCATTTACTCAAAAAAGATATAATAATAATAATAATAAATAAATAAATAAATAAATAGTGATTTCAATCAATATATGATAATAACATTATTATGATTATGATTACGACTTATTTTTATTTTAATTCAAACTACTTACTTTTGCTTTCTGAAAATAATTTTATAATGTTATATGAACTAGTTTTTATTACAATTGTATGCTTGTAAACTTACATGTACAACTGCTGTCTGATAAATCCAGAAATAAAGGTGGATTTTGCGATGTGGTTTAGAAATACTAGAGCATTCATCATAGAATGAAGGATAATTAGCAAATAGATAATCACAAACTATGGAATTACATGAATTACACCAATCATAAATGATCAAAGAACATATACAAAAAAAAATTCTTCTCAAATATGCCTATCTTGAACAGAATTGTATTCAACATAATAAATTTTATAGTATTATTATTATTTAACAAAATTATTTTTATTTAAAAAAATTCTGCAACATATTGGTTTAGTTAACAAGACTGTCATGTATTATTTTTTAGTTACAATGTTATGAAGATGGCAATATTTTGAATATACATTTTTAAAATCGCAATATTGATTCAAAATTCTGGTAATGTACACGAGCTCATCAAAATAAAAGAGCCAAATATTGAAATGAAACAATGTAGTATACTTTAACAATCAAAGGGAATTTCCAATAGAATGAAAGTAAAATTAATGGATATTCCAAAGCATTGGTGAATAAATAGGCCACACTTAAAGCATTCATCATCAACTAGAGAGTAAAAACGTTCCTCAACAACACTCACAAAAGTACAACATTGTCAAATTCCACATTTATATTTTATTATTAGTTTTTCATTTTTTCTAAAACATGGGTATCCTTTCAACGCCACATAACCAATGAGTAGGTGCGGCATGTCTTCAACCTCCTTAGACAATGACACCCTCCAACTCATTCTTTTTAATCTTATATTTTTGTTTTCTTCCTAATCAATAATTTATTTATCTGTATTTGTAAGCTTTTTGTACATGAACCAAATTACATGAATGCGTGGCCCCATGTACCCTCTGCTCTCTCTCCTTTCATTTCTACATCTACTTGTCATTTATTAGAGTAGGTGGAAGAAATTCAACATTCTATAATGCATCCTTCTCATGGCCACACTTTGTACAAACTCATCACCCCAATAAAGCAACATTGTGAATCATCATAATAGTAATAATAATAAAAGTGCATTCATTTTCCTATTCTGTAGAATTTATGCTATTGACAGTAAAGTAAACATAAAAATAAAAAAAAAAATTTGGATACACATTAGTTTTTTTTTTTTTTTTTTTCTATTTTTTCTGTTTTTACTTCAATACTTTAATACACCGAATAATTAATTAATGCTTTTACTCAAAGTAAATAAATAAATATTCTTGTGAGCGGTAGGGAATCAAGGAGAGGACCAATCAAAGGCAACGGGGAAATGTTTAGCAAAGGGAAAAATAAAAGTTGCATGAGATCTTTAAGATAGTTCTAGAAATGGGGTACGATTTTTAGTTAAGATGATGTCAGATAGTGTTGGTTGACTTAGAAGCTATGATGCCAGACACTCTGAAAAACAGGGTACACAATTAAAACAAAATGTATAAAAAGAGATAATAATAAATAAAAACTGACATGTTTAATAATAAAAATAATAAAATAAAAATGGTATGAAATCATATCATGTCATTGGTTTGCACGGACTTTGTTTTCTTTTTTCCTTTACTTAATTCTTTTGCTCTAAGACACATACTAACTTCCATATGACTTTTCATTATGATCCATCTGTTGATATCTCTTTGATTAATTTGCAGAGAATTTGTGTTGTTACTACTGTGTACTATGTGAAGTTATATCTGTGTGATTATTTTTATTATTATTTTCTTAAATCACAACAGTTTTTACATGAAACTTAATTTATTTTTATATATAACATTTATACTTGTAATACAATTTTTCATTATCTGATGCAATGATTTCAAAAATATGATCATTTTAAACTTTTGGTAATAAATTATTTCAATGAATTTTTTTTATGGTTTTTGTTTTTCAATCTTTCAAATCATTACATCATTTTTTTTAAATATCATATATATATATATATATATATATGTATTATTTGCTTATTAATTAAACCTTACTTGTAATCATAATACCACTGAAGCTGTATACGAACTAGGAAATACAAAAGTTGAGACAACAGCATCCACTTTTCTAATTCTTTTTGTTTCTATTCTTTTATTCTTTTACAAATGCTTGGAACTACTTGTCCAATTTACAGCACGATTTTGCACCCAATTGTTCTTTGACACTGAAATCAATTGAATGCTTTTACAATTGTGAATCTAACTCTCATTCAGAAACACAAATAGTGTATTTAAGTATGTGAGCACAATTTCAAGCAGTTCTGCCAAGTGTAAACAATATTGATTCAAATCCCTTTAAATCCTAATTAACTGGTGTCTTAATTAGCAACAAGACCCACTTTTGTAAACTAGGTTTCAATTCATTTTATTCAACTTTTAGGACACTTGTACCTCAACTTTCACCTGTCTGTGATTGCAATTTAACACCGTTTTAAAATTCATTTCTTGATTATTCTTCTAGTGTTTAGATTCTGGGTATAGTTACTGGAGTGAGAAACCAAAATCTTCAACATTCCTGGCCACTAAATACTTATATGATCTAGAACACAATGTTGGTATAGCTTTCACAAATTACCTACAAAAATCACTAAAAAAATCCTTCTAACTAAACATGGACAGTATATTGTGGCGACAAGATCTATGACACCAGTTACTTCCACTATCTGATCTGGCAATGATCTGGTATTGATCCCATGGTTTTTGATTTTGTACTTTTCTATCACAATAAATATCCAAGGAAATGAATTTGACTAAAAATGAAATCAACCCTGATTGCATTTGATACAGAATGCGTTTTTTGAACATGATTTAAAAAAAATGCTTCTGATGTTTCTGTCTCACTGCAATATATATAGTTTTGATAATATCTTTAAGGTTCTCTTTTGATTATATCTTTATTTACAAACAGATGAATATCTGTAATATCCGTAATAACTCTAACTAACAGTACACTGGTTTTATTATTTTTAATTTTTAGGATAATTAAATAGAAAAGAAGAAATAATATCATTTTTATCAAGCTAAAAACAATATTAGCTCTTGACA